GCTGACTGAAGGCGGCGGAGGCTGGAGGAGCTGATTATGGGAGACCAGATTGGCGTCTGGTCAACCACTGTGCCGCATATCATTTCCGGTTACTAAATGGGAGAGGGAGGGAGCGAGCTCGGTCCCGCTGTGCGCATCCCTTCCCCCAATACAGTACGCAAATCTGTCCGGATTGGCCTATGCCGTGGTATCCTCAGCATCTTGGCTTAGAAATTTGTATACCTGCCTGCAGAGCGGAATACAGACCCTTCGGTTGTGTCCTTAAACACCAAGGTAAGGGCCCCAAGGGCGGTCCCGGGAAGCGACAAATAATCAGACAGCCAAACTTAACCGCCTGTCCATTCACATTACACGTAACTCAAGGCCGTCACGGAGACACAGGGTGGGGGAGTCAGTTTTTGTAAAGAAAATAATAAAGGCGCGCGCTTTTAACTTCACGCCAGAATCTTTAAACTTCTGACTGACCGTTAATTTCTATGCAGCTAATCCCGTTGCTAGCTCGTGAGGCTGGTTTTTATCACTATTATGGCCATCAGAATGCGCTAAGTGTGCCTCCGCAGAACTGATACACAAACAACGTATTCAGTCGCAGATCGTTTAGCCACGACCCACAGAATCCGATTGCCCCTGCTGGCAAAACTATCTTGTAGGGCCGCCAAAACATCTATTCCCCCCCACCAAACTGTCTCACTTAATTGGTGGTGAAACATTAAATTCTTGATTAGCGAGTGTAAATGAATATGAATGAATGAAATGAATAAAATATTGGTCCCAGAGAACATTCTTCCGCCTTCTATTCAATTACCTGGGCCTCGCATATTTTCGACTATTGAGAAATGAATATTTAATTGTGTTAAAAGTGATTAATTAAATCAAAGTCGCTCATAATTGTTTTAATAAACTAAGTACAATCAACTCGATCAACATAAAGTCCTGTTGCTCAGACAGCTGGTGCCTATTACTTATACTCGTACTTGATACGGCTGTGATCATGCCTGATCTGGCCGGCCTCGATGATGCCTATTGAGGGAAAGTCGGGCTACTGAAAATGCAAAAACTAGGTTATTGTTATGCCTCGAATCCAAATAGGACCTCTAAAGGCAGTCCTACCCTCCTGCTTCTATGCCGCTATATTATCTCTTTTAAAATTTGGCGGCAGGTCGGCAGTGTTAAGCAAGCTGGGGTTACCTTACTTGATAATTGCACCAATACTGTTTGTTTGTTTGCTTTTTTCATTAGTGTTTACAGAATGGAACAGAAGCAGGGCACCGCCCAGCGTTTCCTCTTTCCCTTCTTCGAAAAGCTGCACTGGTACGCTAGTGATTTACTTCTCGGCCGTCTTAAGAGTGAGTCTTTCCCCTTTTCTCCTTTTTACTTTTTTAACGCTCGTTCCCACTCCCCCCCCGATGAACGGAAACAGCCTTTCCATTGTTCTTCCCGAGTCGGTATCTAACCTCGAGAGCCATGGTTTAAAAACAGGAGTCATACACCCTAGTTTAAGTAATGTCCTCCTATCTGGACACTGTTGCTTGTACTTGTACTTGTTGCAGCTGCGATCATTACTGATCTAGCGGGCCTCGATGATGTCCC